ATACATACATACATAGATACATAGCTATGTACATACCTACATACATGCACATGATCAGAGTTCGGCCTTTCCCCTCCTTCTCCTCCACCTCTCCCTGGGGCATGTGGACGTGCTCCTTGGGCTTCTTGTCCCGAGGATCTCGGGAAACCCAAAGCCCAGATCTCACACACACACAAACTTTTACTTGATACGCCTATCTATATATATACATATACTTGTCTATCTGTTTGCTTATGTATAACTATAACTGAAAACATAAAGATCTATGCTACTAGATAGCTTCGCGAAACGCACATCATTCGGCGGCCACATGTACAGTGCTGCAAGCTCCCAAGAACCAACAATCTAAGATCATCTAAGACCCGCAAACATGGCATGGCCAAGCTGCAGCAGCTCCTCCCCCTGGGGGCACACAAGCACGAATACGCTCGCTTCAAGAAAGGTTTCACAGAGCAATAGGCAGCAGCGCAAAGAAGTCTGCGTAAGAATGCAAAACCTCCGACGAGCCTTCTTCTTGACCACCAGGCTCCCGCGAAGAACGAGAACCATGCTCTTACCGGCATCGCCCACCTGGGGAGGGCCACCCTCTGCTGCATGCGCTGTCTCGCTGAGCTTCCACACGGTAAACACGTGACGCTCCTGCCTCGTGCACAGCCTGCCCAAAGCCAAACGCTCGGGTTGTTTCAGAGGCATCCTGCGAGCAGCTTGTCCATGTCAGAAATGACAGAAGCCTTCATAGTCTTGAAGCCGGGTCTATTACAGCCTCTGTCCGTCGTACTGACAAGGCCTACAGGAAAAGAGGAAGAAAAGGAGTGGGGCAGAACTGCCAAAAGAAATCTGTAACCCGGTGTAGCCCTCGACGTCCCGAAGCAAATCGCAATATCCATTTACCTGCGGTGACCTGCGCGAGGCGGCTGATGAAGCTGGCGCTACAGTTCTTGAACATGGGCACCTGGGAGGAGGCTATGAAATACTGGGGTTTAGGGTTATAAGGGCCCAAAACCTAAACCCTAAACCCTTAACCGAGAAGATTCCGAGGTTAAGGGTTTAGGGTTGCTGCATGAAACACTGCCGGTGTTCTTCGAGGCTATTGTGCCGCGCTTAGATGTGCCCTTCGAAAGGATCCAGGCCCTTCGGTGTTGCTGTGCATCGGTAGGCAGCGCCGCCGAACCGATTTTCATGGGCTTGCCGTTGAAATCATCAGGAGGACCACAGAGCCCGAAACGATGCTAGCTTACTTCCGAAATAGAGTACAGCTTGAATTACTAGTAGTCAGAGCCCAAGCTGCATGGACCTAGGACCCATGGACCTAGGACCTATGATGAAGGGATCCGGTTGACAATGACGACAGCCACGACACTGGGCACAGCAATAACGAAATAATGATGATGGCGTTGATCATGAAGGGCACGAGGAGGTGGAGGAGGAGGACGACAATGATGCAAGGATGAGGATGAAACTGCTGCTGGGACTGGTTCGGGGGGGCGGCGGTGGTCGCGGCACGGAATCGTGCACGCGAAGGGTCGGACAAAGCCGGAATGGAGCCTCAACGAGGTCCTGCTCGATCATGATCGATGAGATGCCAACGTTGACCGCATGCCCACGTCTGTCAGGGCATTTCTTACTTCGGATGTGAGAACCAAGAAAGCCTGTCAAACAACCCTCAACTGAAAGAACCAAGGCCTTATGGAAATCCTGAAAGGCATACACCCTACCCACCCCGTGTCCCGCGGGTCCTCAGCGCGCCGAACATGGAATCCGAGTTGCCCTCAGGAAAGCCCCGTGCTGGATCACTGGTCATGTTAGCTGGTCAATCTGGTCCACTCTGGTTCCTCCAGCTCTCATTTGCTAGTACTCATTCCACGACCACGGGGATAGCTTGTCGTCTACTCACTTGCAGCCACCATCATGCGCCTAGTGCACCCATAACTGCAGGGTTGAAGTAAGAGGTCTGGATTTGAGACTGCACACTCAGAGTTTTGAAAGATTTTGACAAAGCCCTTTCAGCGTACAGCCTTTGTGAGATCACTGAATGAAGCTCCTGTATCACCTCAGGGCTGGTGCTTCGAGAGAAAGATCAGACAGAAGAGGCCATACTCCGACAGCCTAGCATGGCGAAGGCTATGCTGTACTTGTTGTTACTCCACCGGCACAGCATTCTGGGAGTTGAGCTATGAAAACAGACAATGAGTAAAAGCATGGGAATCGACAGGCTGTTGTATGCAGGCACACCCGGAACAGTGCGCGGTGACTGCGTGCTGCGACGGCGACAGATCCAGAAACTTCCTTTTCAAGGGCTCATGGCAAGAAGCAGAAGCCGAAGTATCGAAGCAGGAATAGACTGCGTAGATCAATCTCTTGTCGAGCCTACCTACAGTCTGCCTGGGGCATCTGCAGTGGCTGCATCCACGCTGGTTCTAGTAGCTCTTTTGCCTGCAGGCGAAGGCAACCAGCTAGGGGAAAAGGAGAAGGAATGCCATCTCCCTGTCACGGGCTTCCGAGATGGGCGAGCGACAACTCCACATGCTTGACCGGCTGTACTGATACAGCTAGTATGCATGTGGTAACCTATGATGCCGCCCACCATGCAAGTTCTTTAGCAGATGTTATACGGTCTGTATGCATGTATGTATGTATGTATGTATGTATGTATGTATGTATGTATGTATGTATGTATGTATATATGTATGTATGTATGTATGTATGTATATATGTATGTACATGGGTCTGTGCATGGGTATGTATGTATGTATGTATGTATGTATGTATGTATGTATGTATGTATGTATGTATGTGTGCGTGTGCAGGTCTGTGTAGCACCAACACATGGCTGCTTCGGCACCAGTCTGGACAGCTACATGCAAGCAGCGAAACCACACCGGAAGAAAGCATAACACCTAGAGGGTGAATTCGGTTTAGTCCCTTAAACCCTAAACCCTAAAGATTAGCTCACAGCCTGAGAAGTCAGCCAGCACAGAAAAGGCCCTGACAAGGCCTTCCGAATTTGAAGGCTTGACTTGAAGCAGGGAGCCCCGCGGATGAGCATTCGGCCTTGCTGTCTGATCATGAAACGAGCAAATACGCAAAGGGCCCATGCTGCCCATGCTGGTAGCATTGATGCTGCTATAACTGCTACCACTACGACAGCGACCGTGGCTGCGATGTCTCAGTTGCCACGACGGTTTGTAAAACTAATCAGCACCACGAGGGCGACAGGCCTTATGAAGATAAAACATACTCGTCTTGAAGTGGCCTTGTAGTGCTCAAAATGATGACGACAACAAGGTGCAGAAGGTGCAACCAAAAACCCGTTGGCATCGTCGTCATCGTCCTCATCATCATTAGCATCATCACCATCAGCACCACCAGCATCATCATCACAATCATCATCATCATCATCATTATGCGCACAACAGTAAGAATAGTACTGATGATCATGATTGCGTTGGCGGTCGACGTCCTCCGTATCCTTTCGTGATCCCTGCATCCGTCTCCACACAGAACACCTTGCCATTACCGCCATCTGCATCCTGGTAACAAACACCAACTCCAACACCAACCCACAAACACACACAAACGAACACGCACGCACGCGCACGCACGCACATGCGCACATACATACACACACTCACTCACTCACTCACTCTCTCACACACACACCACAACAGTCATCATCATCATCATCATCAGCCGTAGCAGCATCGTCAGCATCATCATCCTTCATCACGCTTCATCATCATTCACCATCATTCGCCATCATTCATTATCATTCATCAGGGACAAACATCAACAGCAGCATCGCAGGAGCGGCAGCAGCAGCAGCGCTAGTAGTAACTCTTGTGATGCCGAACTGCGAATTTATACTTGCACTCAGAGCCTCACAAAACACGATGTAGGCAACAACAGCGGCGAGAACCAACATCATAACAAAAACCTGCAAAATAGGCAGCATTTGCATCAGCATGGTTTTCATGAGAGAAGAACGCATATGACACTTATATACACTTATCACTGTCATGGTCATGGTCGTGGCCAGCATCAACATGCCGATAATCACTGTTCATGTCAACTGCGTCAACATTCCACGCAGACTCCTTTAGCACTGCACTATTATCAACACTATAGTCTGTTAAAGCACCTAAATACTAAACCCTACACCATAAACCCTAAACTCCACGTCCCTTGCAGCCACTTCCATGAAATCAACTTCGGCAGGGCGCTGCAGTGTGCGCCGGGCAGCATAGAAGTCGGCCTTCCGCGGTCCCGCTTCATTGTCCTGCGCTCTAGGGTTTAGGGTTTAGGGTTTAGGTTTCAGGGTTTAGGGTTTAGGGTCTGCGGCGGGGCTTTTTCCCTCTGCACTGCAGAGAACTATGCTCACAGGCGAGGTTCGATTTGGGAATATAGCCACTTGCAGATCGTCAATTACAAGCTTCTGCTCCTAAGCAAAATCCACTATTCGCTCATCTAAAGTTCATCAAACAATCAAAAAAAGAGAATAAGGCAACCAGGGGAGCCAAAGCAGGTTCCAACAAAGGAACATGTGCAGTCTGCAAAATCTACACACGGTGCACTAGCCCAACACTGAGAAAAAACCCAGGCACCAAGTGAGGATTCCCACAGATGCATGCTTCACGTCTGTACGATCGCGAAAACACTCGCAGCTTTCAGCAGGGAGAGCGACGGCATGCATGCAGCCAAATGCCGACTTTCAATTCAAGTAACCTTAACCTTACATTCAGTGAAAATAACGACGAAAAGGGGTTTAGGGTTCAATTAAAGCTTAGGGATGAAAAAATAATGCTGAGGGTGTAGGGCTTACGGTTTAGGGTTTCATGCTGAGGGTGTAGGGTCTGCAGCTGACAACACGGTCCAGCGATACTGTGGTGCACAAGTGACCGCAAGTCCAAGACTGCTCAACAAAAAAGCACAAACAGGAGCAGTCACAAACATTCAAGCAAGTGCCACGCGCACCTCAGCCGTACCCTCAAAGCTGATGCGCTTCGACATGGCGAGCTTGACAAGCAAGGACCAGGGCTTCTGGGCTTTTGGGATTCAGGCTTTCAGGTGCGGGCTGAAAGAAGGGTTGGGCGAGGGTCCTGGCTTCAAGGTGGGGTGCCGCGAGGACGCAGAATGCAGAACTTGCAGCTCTAACTCTGCATGTGGGGTGCAAGTTGGAAGGGTAATTAAGGCTACTAAGCTTTAGTCTTCTGGGGTTCCAAGGCAATTCCCGTCGAACTTGCGGGCGATCTTGGCTGACTTACACCCTGCCGCAGCGCAAGCCAAGGGGGGGGTGCTGCGAGCTACTCCTCTGTGACTTGGGCGGCAACGGCAGCAACGGCTACTGGGCTACTGGACCTAATTACATTAAACAAATAGAAAGCCCATAGTTCATGCACGGCGCTACTCCTTCTGACTCAAGCACTTCTTCCGTCAAGCAGGGCCGAGCTCCGCTTTTCTGGATGGCATTAGCGACTCGAGTCGCCGAGGCAAAGGACTCGGGACTCTCAGGATGGCCTTGGGACTGCAGAGACTGGGCCGAGGCAGAGTGCGGGCTCTGGAGATGGCCAGCTCGGCTCTGAAGATGGCTCCACTCCTGCTCCAGGGCCTCCGCACGTCTTTGGAGCCAGGCGCTTTCCTTGCAGGGATTCAAAAACTCAGGCACGGCCATGCAAGCTTTACTCGCCCCCCCGGCCTGTTCTTTTGCCCGGAGCCTTGTCGTGCGCAAGGCCAAGCTCCTTTTCAGCGTTTCCACCTCGAGCTGCTGCGCGAGGCACTGCGCCTCGTAGCGCTCGTGGTGATCGGCCAGCTGCTGCTCGAGTTTAGCCGACTGCATCTCCAGGTGTGGGATGTGATGACCCCGCAAGTGCACTGCCCGCTCCATGCTCTCCCGGTTGAGATGGCCGTGGTAGATCTGTTGAATCCAAGCCTCGATTCGGTTGCAGCAAGTCGCTACACGCGTGCCTTCATCCTGTAAGATTTCGTGATGGCATCCCGGAATGAGCAGGGAATGCGCTGGGATTGCTTACAATAGCTAAGATCACTGCCGCCTCTCTCTCTGTGCTTCCAGCGACCTTCTTATTGGGTCCTTAAGCCGTCCAGTGCCCTAACTATAAGGTCCTTGCAAGCACAGGGTTAGTATAGAGCATAGGTATAAGCTACTACGCCATAAGGATACATAAGTTGCTAAGGTCCTTTTATGCCGAAGCACCTTGGCGTTGGAATGCTTCGCCACGAGGGCTTCCAGTTCCTGCTGGGCCTCTGCCAGCTCTGCCTCCACATGCTCCCGCCTAAACCCCTAAACCCCTAAACCCCTAAACCCTAAACCTTCAGCCCTAAACACTAAAGCCACATGCTTGGGGTTCAGGGTTTAGGCTTTTCAGGCCTAGGGTTTAGTGCAGTTGTAACCAGGACTTAAGGTCTTGGGCTTCCCGGCTATGACGTTGAGGGTTCGGGCTATCTGTGGTGTTGGGCCACAGGACGGGCTGCTGGAGAGTAGCATTGTGGCCTGAGTCTTGAAGGGAACAGAAATTGCATGGACCAGAGTAGAGTATAGCAGTGTAGTATAGCAGAGTACAGTACAGCATAGTATAGTATGATTAATATATGTAGTACAGCAGGGTATATATATATATATAGATTTGTTTTATGTTATTTTGGATTGCAACGGTAAGCCGCTAGGGGTTTAGAGTTTGGGGTTGAGGGGATGGAAGGGTTGGGATGAGGGTTTTTGTCCTGCTCCCTTGCAAGGTCGAGAGGCCTGCCCCTCTGGTTCTGCCTCTGGCAAAGCTCCATTCCCGCAACGACACAAAAAAAATGAATCGGCGACGGAGTTTCCTTAACTAATTGGCACACGACCAGATTAGTTGCCAGACATGATTTTGACCCCGTGATCACTACTGCCCAACCGTTGTTCAGACTGGGCTCAAGTCTAGCCAGACCATCCACCCCTGTGACCGAGGAGCGGGCATGCCTTTCCGTTGACTCTACTAAACCCTGAACTGTTAACTCTACGCAGAAGTTCGAGAATCCTTCATAGGACCCTTTCGACAATCCTTGTCCTAACCGCAACCCTTTTTATAGCAATCCTCTTACTTGTAGTATTACCGAAAGGGCTTTGAGAAGGCTATACTACATGGGTTGGTAGTGGTGGTGGTGGTGGTGGTAGTAGTAGTAGTGGTGGTAGTTGGTAGTAGGTAGTAGGTAGTAGGTAGTAGGTAGTAGGTAGCAGGTAGCAGGTAGTAGGTAGTAGGTAGTAGGTAGTAGGTAGCCGGTAGTAGGTAGTAGGTAGTAGGTAGTAGGTAGTAGGTAGTAGGTAGTAGGTAGTAGGTAGCAGGTAGTAGGTAGTAGGTAGTAGGTAGTAGGCAGTAGGTAGTAGGTAGTAGGCAGTAGGCAGTAGGCAGTAGTTCGTAGTTCGTAGTTCGTAGTTCGTAGTTCGTAGCTCGTAGCTCGTAGGTCGTAGTTCGTAGTTCGTAGTTCGTAGTTAGTAGTTAGTAGTTCGTAGTTCGTAGTTCGTAGTTCGTAGTTCGTAGTTCGTAGTTAGTATTTAGTAGGTAGTAGTTAGTAGCTAGTAGGTAGTAGTTAGTAGTTAGTAGTTAGTAGGTAGTAGTTAGTAGATAGTAGGTAGTAGTTAGTAGGTAGTAGTAGAGGTAGTAGTCGTCGTCGTCGTCGTCGTAGTAGTAGCAGTAGTAGTAGTGGTGGTAGTAGTCGTCGTCGTCGTCGCCGTCGTCCATATAGTAATAGTATAGCCTTCTCATAGCCCCTTTTGGCAACCCCTTTTCAGTAACCCTGTCTAGCCTTTGTAAGAACTGGCTTAGTAACTCCTTTTTTAGCTGCATAGCAACCTGACCTCCTACTTCCGGGCCTTCTTAGAGCTCTGCCTCGCCGGCCAGAGCTCCGCGGCCTTCTTCAGCTGTAAGGCCTCGGACTCGGCCTCAGACAACTCCTCCTGGAGCTGGGGACGCAGATTTCTTTGCGGTGGAAAAAGGTGGTGAGTGGTGACTTCTTGGGTGGCTTTGCGATTTTTTGCGTGTGTGTTCCGCTTTCCCAGTCCCCCGCCGACGGGATTCCCCCTCTGCTGGCCCTGATGGCCAGCCCCTTTCCTCCAAAAATGCCTTCTCTACCACGAAACTGAACAACCCGAAAGCCCACAACAGGCCACCTACACCCCCAAAATATGCCAGCATTCACGTGCCACGCCTCCCTCCTCGCCCGCACGCTCTGAGGGTTGGCGTGCTTGCAGGATGTAAGGCTTCAAGGCTTAGGGTGAAGGCTTCTGGATCAGGACTTGCAGAAAATGCATCAGACGAGTTTCTGTGGCCTCTTAGTGACTGGTCATCAATTTGGTCTCCCAAGGCCGCTCTGTGATGCTGGATCAGCTCCCCATAATACCGTGATAATTCGGAGCATATCCAATGCAAGATGAAGACCAGATCGTGGTCACCTGTGTTTAGGTATGGACTTAGCTGGCCTTCCGGGCGCAGGGTTCTGCAAGGAATGGGCCCAAGGCTATGCAAAGCAGACCTCAGTCAGGCGTTCCCACTGCATAAAAAAAATTATTCAGACTCGGAAGTCGTGGGTCGTTGAATTCTGGAAGATCCTCTCCAAAAAGGACAACCCGGAATTGCAAGTTGGACGAAACCTGACATGTCCATGCAACCTCAACCACGGCCCCTCCTGGAGCTCTTGGATGCAGGCCTGCTGACAATGACGGTTACGGTGAGTTGATGAGTCTGAGGCACTCTTCTACCCCTCTTTCATGAGCTCATAGGCCTTTGAAGCCATGCCTTCGCAATGGAGTTCAGCGGCATGGCGCTGCCGCTGCTGGACCTTTGCAGCGTCTGCGAGAAACGTCAGGCGAGCCCGGGTACGGCAGACGCGAGATGCTAGAAGCAGGGTTGCTGCTGTAGCTGTTTGCCTCTTCCAGAGCTCACTAAATGCTCTCAGCCGTTACGACCCTCATCAGAATCCTCCATGGCATGCCGCGGCTCCTTCACTTCTGCAAACAGCTACCAACCACAGACACTTCCTGGCATGGGCCCACTGCAACGTCGGCTGAGTCAGTTGAAGTCCAACAGATTGCAATGCTCACGCTGGACCGACACTGCATGGCAACACAGTGTAGCACACACCACTACTCCATGTACCTCTGACCTCGAAGTCCTGAACCCTAGGCCCAAACAGCATCCTGAACTCCGGATGCGAATCCAAACCTCGTCTTCGACCCTACATCGAAAAATCTATAGGCCCTCGGCCATAAGCCCTAAACCCGCGCCCGAAACTCTGCAGGCTCAAACCCACAAGGCCTAAAACCCTACAGTGCTAAACCCGAAAAGCATGAACCCTAAAACAATACAGCCCGAACCCGCAAAATCCCCAAACCCTAAAACCCATCCAACGCGAAAACCATGAACCCCCAAAACCCTACAACACGAAACCCTCAAGACCGAAAACCCTCAAACCCTAAAACCCTAAAACCCTACAACACGAAAACCATGAACCCCAAAACCTTACAACCCCAAACCCTGAAACCCTAAAATAAAATTAACCCTAATACTCTACAGCGCGAAACCCGACGTCAAAAACCTACAACCCTAAACCCTAAAACACTTAAATCCCTAATCCCTAAAGCCGCACAGCGCGACACCAGAAAACCATGAACGTCAAAACCCCGCAATCCCAAATTGCCAAACCCTAAAACCCTAAAATCCATAAACCCTAAAACCGTACAGCGCAAACCCGAAAACCATGAACCGCTTTACCCTGCAGCCGGACACCCTCAAACCATAAAATCACCAAACCCTAAAACCCATCCAACGAGAAAACCATGAACCCCAAAAACCCTACAACCCGAAACCCTTAAAACCGAAAACCCTTGAACCCTGAAACACTACAATGACGCGAAAACCATGAACCGCAAAACCTTACAACCCCCAACCCTGACACCCTAGAAGACATCCGAAACCCTAGATCTCTACAGCGCGAACCCCAAACCCCGAACTCTGAAACACTTCAACCCCTAAGCCCTAAAGGCGCACAGCGCGAAACCCGAAAACAAAGAACGCCAAAACCGCACCCCAAAACCCTAAAGGCCTAAAGCCCTACAGCGCAAACCCGAAAACCATCTGCCGGACACCCTGAAACCACAAAATCCCCAAACCCTAAAACCCATATAATGCGAAAACCATGAACCCAACAAGCCCTACAACCCGAAATCCTTTAAAATCGAAAACCCTGAAACCCTAAATCCTACAACGCGCAAACCATGAACCACAAAACTTACAACCTCCAACCCTGAAAAAAACCCTTAAAAATAAATAAACCCTAGAACTCTATAGCGCGAAACCCGAAAACCATGAACGTCAAAAACCTACAATCCTAAACCCTCAAACACTTAAATCCCGAATCCCTAAAGCCGCACAGCGCGACACCAGAAAACCATGAACTCCAAAACCCCGCAACCCCAAATTGCCAAACCCTAAAACCCTAAAATCCATAAACCCTCTAAAAGCGTAGAGCACAAACCCGAAAACCGTGAACCCCTTTACCTGCGGCCGGACATCCTAAGACCATAGAATCCCTAACCCTAAAACCCGACAGGCGAAAACCATGAACCCCGAAACCTTACGACCCCAAACTCTAGAATCCTAGGGTCTCTGAACCCTAGAACCCGACAACGCTAAACCCGAAAACCATGAAGCCCAAAACCCCCACAACCCCAAACCCTAAAGGCCTAAACCCCTACATCGCAAACCCGAAAACCATGAACCCCTAAAACCCTGCAGCCGGACCCTAAAACCACAAAATCCCTAAACCCTGAAACCCATATAACGCGAAAACCATGAACCCAAAAAACCCTACAACCCGAAACCCTTAAAACCGAAAACCCTTAAACCCTAAAGCCCTACAACGCGAAAACCATGAACCGCAAAACTTTACAAGCCCAAACCCTGAAACCCTAAAAAACAATTAACCCTGAAACTCTACAGCGTGAGACCCGAAACCCCAAACTCTACAACACTTCAACCCCTAAGCCTTAAAGCCGCACAGCGCGAAAACCGAAAACCATGAACCGCAACACCCCCACAACCCCAAACCCTAAAGCCCTGAAACCCTATGGCGCAAACCCGAAAACCATGAACCCTAAATCCCTTCAGCCGGACACCCTGAAACCATAAAACCCCTAAACCCTAAAACCCATATAACGCGAAACCCGAAAACCATGAATCCCACACCCTGTAATCCCAAACCCCAAAACCCTAAAATCTCTATATA